ATTTTTTCACATTTTTTGAATTAAAGAAAAGTCAAAAATAAAATAAAATTCAAACAATTAATCAATTAGTCTAATAATCTCATCTTAAAGTGAAATTCTAAACAAAAGTCAGAAAAATGTCCAACCAAAATTATATTCAAATATCAGAACTAAAAACACACATCTCTGATTTTTTTTTTGAATTTTTGAATTAAAGGAAATATTAAAATAAAAATTAACCAAGCAATTAACAATTAAACTATTATTTAAGGGCAAAAATGCAAACCCTAGCCAAAATCACAAAAGGGTCAAAATGAAAATACATTCAGATTCTATGATTAAAAACAAGCTTGCATGATTTTTTTTGAGAATTTTTGAACCAATGGAAGTATTAAAGTAAAAATCAAACAAATAAATATTACAAATAAACTTTTGAAATCAAATTTTTAATTAAAAATAACAAAAATGCTAAACCAAAATCAGAATAAATTTTTAAATTATTTTATGAGTTCAAAATAATTTTTGTGGAATTTTTAGATCAAAAGAAATATTAAAACAAAAATAAACATTGAATAAACAATTATTTAAACTTATGAATTTTTAAACTAATCAAATTTTTTTTTAAATAATTCAAAAAAAATATGACAAATACTAGAAATTATCATTGGCCTATGGTAATTATTTTATGATTTTTGAAAATTTTTTGTTCACAAAAATAAAATCAGAAAATCAAATAAAACAAAATAAAATGGAATGCATTAAAAATTTGAACCATCCAATTAGGGCGCGCCGCCTCATCATCTTCAACCTCAAGACAAATGCCCTAAACGCGTGTTCTTTCAGTTTCATACCTCATGTTCTGATCAATATCTCTCCCTTATTTCTCCACCAAAATCCATGATTCAAAGCTCAAAATAAAGCTAGATCTAACCTCTACATCACGACACTTATAGTTCTCAAAAAGATTGACTAAGCAATTAGAAATATGGATGCGAAAATTGAAAAAACTCACTGAATATGGATTATTCAAAAGTTCAAACAACGATCTATTCTTCCATTTCAAACAAGATTATACGTCAAACATATTGTTTGGCCAGCTATGAACTCATAAACATGAAGTAATTCAACAAATCAAGCTGGAAATAGCAAAATGAAGTTCAAGAAGCTTACTTCAATGTGAAACTGGAAATGTTGATGCCTTAGTTACAGAAGCAAACAAACTCTATAATCTTGATCTACACACTTCAAGGATGATGAATTCACAAGAATTTTGATGAATGCGCAAACGAGATAAGAGAATCGAAGCAACTTGCAGAAAAATGGTGTAACACTTCAGATTTGGAATTCTTGTAATGGGTGCCTTCTTCTCGTGAAATGAAGCTTCCAGTGCCCTATATAGTGTGGGTAGAGAAGGTTAGAAGAGGAAATTGGTCTTCCTATTTATTCCAGGGCTTGATTGGAAAATTTGGCAAAATAAAGGATGCACATGGGCCTCAGTTATTTGCTCGTGCGTTCCTCCATTTTCTTTGCATTTTATCAACTAAATGAGGCCAGAAGCCCATGCTTAAAGTTCCAGGTTATGACTCATTGAGATGAGAGAGTGTTGGTGAATTGGCTTTTCTTGGCAACTTTGAGCATCTTGTATCCAAGCAAACACCATGGTCCATGGAGCATGAAATAACTGGCATTATGGGCCTTAGCAAGTCACAAATAGGTCATGGTCTGGATTAGAAACAAAGAGAATGGCTGAAACTTGAGTTCTCATGAATTGACCATTTTGCATATTTGTCAAATTTCAATAAAATGCCTCAAAATTCCAAAGCTCGTAACTTGCTCATATTTTTGAATTTGGACAGAAATGAGCACAATTTGGAAAGGTATTGAAAAGATCTACAATCCCTTAGTTTTGAGTTCTTGCAATTGAATCCATTAAGTTTCCCAAAATTGAGCTTGAAATTCACTAAATTTAGAAAATGACCTATAATTTTGTGACTTCCAAAGACCATAATTCTTGATTCCTTGCCAATTTGGACATGAGACCAGAAGGAGATGAAATATCATCCTCTTATATTTCCAAGCATGTTTCATTTGCATTTTTTTGATCAAAGGTGAATAAAATATGAATTTTTGAAGTTAAGTCCTCATTTTCCAAAATTAGAAACTTTTAGGGTTTCTTCATGAACAAGTTTCAACCCAAACCTCAATCTTTTTGATCCAATGATCAAAATGGACTTGAGATACGAAAAGTACACCCTTGAATTGATGGTTGGCCAAATGTTTACTTGGTCAACCTTGATTTTGACTGACTTTGACCAAAATGACCATTTTGCCCCTTTGAATCAATTGATCCACTTCCCTTCAAAATTGATGATCAAAACTCAAACATATGATCTTCCAAACATATAGAGGCCATGTGCAAAGTTTCACTTCAAAATTCTCAAGAAATCTTGATGAGATCCCAAACCCTAGTTTTGTTCAACACATTAGGAGACTGATGAGTCATCTCCAAAACTTCAAATCCTCTGATGATCTTGACCAAATTCTTGTACAAATACTTTTCAAATGCCAATGAGATGTTGTGGCTTCCAAATCAAGACTTGTACATTGATCAATAGCCTTGCTCAAACAAAACCCTAATTTGACTGGTGAATCAAAAAGAGTGATTCTTCTTATAATCAAACACAAACTTTAATCCTTTGATGATCCAAAGAGATGGATAAGATATCTTGAGATATGCAATAAATTTTGAGCTTGAAAGATCCAGAGGTTTGGATGGTAAAATTCTTCTTGAGCAACTTGCCAGTGCAATCAACCTTCAAAGCTTGAGGAAGTCTTGATAACCAAAGTAATTTTGATCCCATCACAATGTATAAATGCAATGCAATATGATATTCATGATGAAACATAAGCCTAAATCAAGAGGATAAATTTTGGGGTGCAACATTTGTCACCGACAACCGAAACTTCCCTATACAAACATAAACATGAGGCAAGTGTGAGTGGTCAAAAATAAATAGATAATCTCACAACAGAATGAACCAACCAACCCTCTTGTTTAACTTTTGCATACTGCAGCAACAATACAGTTGGACCAGAGCTATTATCACGATCTTGGTTGAATTTGATAAATTGTTCGGCATACGATTCCCAAAGAGTAGATTTCAGAGTGTTGTTGCTAAACAATGAATACACAGTATTCGGCCAACAAAAGAAATTTAAGATGCACCACAACGACGAAAGCGCTGAATTACATACCAGTGGTCCCTTAACATTATATTAACCTGCAGTTTTTTTGAACCCGACTGCGTCTGAGAATACCCAATTCTCTCAACCATTCCAATTACATCTTGCAAAAAAAAAGACAAACACCCGCATACGAAAATAACAGTATATCAAATTCAATCACATGACGAAAAGATAAAAAACAACGTTAGATTTTAATTACCTATCAGCACATCCCTGTTGTAATTACCGTTGATTATATCAGAAAAACCAGTAAACACCAGCAATTTCGCAGGTATGTCATGTTTGTTATCATCACCAACGAACGTACCTCCTGTAAATTTAAGCATAAATTTGTGAGCCAAAGGTCTAAACGACGACATTTGGCTGAACCTTAAAGTTTGCCACAGTATAAGTATGGCCCAGCAAAAAAATTCCATCAAAAACAGACTTATGTGCCGTCGAGACAACAACATGAATATCATCGCCCTACAATGCACAAAAAAATAACAGCATATCAGAAAACCAACATACCACAATGCAAAATCCGCCATAACAACAGAATATGACAAAAACTGTGCGAAAACAGAACATCCAGACGCAGAGAAGATTTATTTTACCGTTTTGTCCATAAATATCATTTCAAAATGCTCTTTGTTGTTAATCAGAATATTCCACCGATGATGAACCCTGACTGCAACCTTCCATAATTCTTTAGCGTCATTGATGTCGCATACAACTTCAATCGGTCACGCTATGGTAAATCGATAGCAGGGACAGGATGCGAAAACGACAGGGTTATAGGAAGGCGATGTTGTAATAGAAATTTAGAAGATGGAAGGATATAAAGAACGATAGCCATGAGGAATATTTGGAGACAATTACAGAATGACAGTGATTTGGAGACGGTTACAGAATGGTTGTCATGATGAGTTATGGACAACAGTTACAAAATTGATATAGATAGGAGTTGTTTGAGAGACAGGAAAACAAATGCATCGTGGAAGTGTGTAAAATAATTCCAAAATCTGAAATAGAGAGCAATAAAAGTAGCTACATGAAGTATTTTTGGAATAAAAGGATAAAAATGTCAGAATGGATAGAATGAATTTTCTTATAATATAGATTAATTAAAAGTTCTGAATTTGATATCGGTTCTAGTTAACAATTCTAATTTTATTTTTGATATAAAGATGTAAAATTGCAAATTATTAGGAATAAAACACCATAAATTTTTTTTAAAATTTAAGAGAGAATAAAGAAAAAACATTTTAATTAACCAAATTATCACTTCATTCTCCTTTGTTCTTCAAAAACAATCCGCTTTTATCCCTTTTTGAAAAATCCATTTTTGTGCACAAGTGAATGCTGCCACTCCAGATAAACAGTGTCTTCTCTTCTTCTTGGTGAGTTTCAAAATCTCCATTTTCTTCCTTTTCCTTTTATCCTTTAATCTTCAATTTTTTCTTCAATTGCAAATGAAATTGGTTCTTTTTGTTCATCAGTTTTTCTGTAACATTCATAGTATTTAAGTGCTGTGTATTTACACTCATGATTTCAGAACCCTAACCCAGTTAGATTTTACTCCCATTTCTCAATTTCCGAATTTGTGAACAAGTTTTAGAATTGTGCAACTAATTTCCATTCTACTGTTTAATTGATATTCCATGTCAATTGTGTTTATTGGTATTGCATTTCTTGTTTGCAGGAACCCCTTTTGTTAGGTTATGATGGTTATTCATAACTAGGAAACTAGAAAATATCAAACTGTTTGGATAATTTAGTTTCTGTGAGGAATTATGGAAGGATTATTGATTTCTTTGCCTAACCAAAGTTGTTTAAGACCCTTTGGTTTCGCTCTGAGAGTAAGTTATAGTTTTCCGGTTACCACGAGAACTTGTCGTTTGAATCGAAAACCTGGTTTCTATACTTTGAACATCGATTGCATGCGTTTTGATAGAGGTAGTGTTAGTGGTGCTAGAGAGGCTAGAGTTTCTGCGTTGGATAGGGATGATGAAGGAGAGGAATCTGATATGGATAGGGATGATGAAGGAGAGGAATCTGATATGGAGTGGGAAACAGAGTTGTTGGGGGAGTTGGATCCGTTTGGTTACCGAGCTCCGAAGAAAAGGGAAAAAGAACAAAGGTCGGAGTTGGTCGAGGATACGGGTGGAATGGATTGGGTTGTGAGGGCAAGAGAGATGGCGCTGAAAACAGTTAGAGCGAAGCGTATGGCTTATACAATGGAAGATTTGGTTAATGTTAAGAAGAAGAAGAAAAAGGCTAAGAAGAAGTTGGTAAGCAAGAAGAAAACAGATAAGAAACTCGAGGAAATTGATTATAATTCAGGGGAAGACTTTGGGTTGTCACGGGGTACGAAGCCTAGGGTTAATGTTGATGATTTGAAAAGGAAAGTGGGTTTGATTGCGGATGGAATGTTTGCAGAAAATACGGCGAAATCGTTGGAAACGTTTTACAATAGACTGTCTCAATTTTCTGGGATATCTGACCATAGAAAAGAAATGAACTTGAACACAGCGATCATTGAAGCACAGACTGCAGAGGATGTGTTGGATGTTACATACGAAACAATTGTTGCAGTTGCAAAAGGACTTAGCCCCTCGCCTCTCTCGCCTTTGAATATTGCTACTGCTCTTCATCGCATTGCTAAATTTATGGAGAAGGTTTCTATGATGAAAACTCGAAGACTGGCGTTTGCTCGACAAAAAGAGATGTCTATGCTTGTCGGCATTGCAATGACATCCTTACCTGAATGCTCGGCTCAAGGAATCTCAAATATAGCTTGGGCCCTGTCTAAAGTTGGAGGGGAACTGCTTTACTTTTCAGAAATGGATAGAGTTGCAGAGATTGCACTGACCAAAGTTGGAGAATTAAACTCTCAGAACATTGCTAATATTGCAGGTGCTTTTGCTTCAATGCAGCATTCAGCACCCGATCTTTTCACAGAGTTGTCGAAAAGGGCTTCTGAAATAATTCACACCTTTAAAGGCCAAGAACTTGCACAGCTCTTGTGGGCTTTTGCATCTCTATATGAGCCCGCTGACACTGTATTTGATTCTTTAGACAAACTCTTCAAAGATCATAGCCAATCAAGAGGTTTCATAGGGGAAGAAACATCCAATAATCATGAACAAATCGGTGTCGAGTCTGTTGATCGAAATGAGGCCTCAAATTTACTTACTTTAAGTAGGGACCAGCTTGGGTCTATAGCTTGGTCCTATGCTGTCTTTGGACAAATGGATAGGAGTTTCTTCTCTTATGTCTGGAAAACTCTCAGCAATTTTGAAGAGCAAAGGGTTTCAGAGCTGTATAGGGAAGATGTCATGTTTGCTTCTCAGGTTCATCTTGCAAACCAGTGCTTGAAACTTGAATTCCCGCATCTTCAGCTGTCTTTAAGTGGTGAGCTCGAGGATAAAATTTCGCGCGCTGGAAAATCTAAAAGGTTCAATGAGAAGATAACTTCGTTATTTCAGAAAGAAGTTGGTCATCTTCTTGTTAGCACTGGACTTGGATGGGTCAAAGAATATGCTGTAGATTGCTACACTTTGGATTCTGTGATAGTTGATAAGAAGCTTGCTCTGGAGATTGATGGTCCAACTCATTTCTCTAGAAATACCGGTGTGTATCTTTTATTTGTATCAAGTTGAATCTTTACTATGCCGAATCCGACTCACTCAGTTTGTTATTTTTTGTCTTTACCTGTTATATAGATGTTCCTTTAGGACATACCATGCTTAAACGCCGATACATCACTGCTGCTGGTTGGAAACTCGTATCGTTATCCTATCAAGAGGTGAGCTCTCTAATTGCATAATTTTGAGTTTTACATAGGCTGTAAGTAATATCAGTATCACATTTGCACGGTTAGTGGCATGCGCCAAACTTACAGTATGCCGGCTTCTATCTAAACTCACATCAGTTTATAAACCCTCTATTATTTCTAAAGCAGATGAAACAAAAGTTGTACTTTTTTTTTTCCAACCAAACAATTTTAAGGAATTGATTGGAATAGTGATCTGTCCGCGAAAAAATTGTGAATGTTTGTGCACTTTCCTGCAGTGGGAGGAACTTCAAGGAGGAACCGAACAGATGGAGTACCTTAGGGAAATTCTTAAAGATTATATAGATAAAAGAAATGCCAACACTACATTAACTGAGGTAAAGTGATGATTCAATGCTTTTTGTAAGGTATCAGAAGTTATGAGCATGTATATTTGCTAGATAATATTGAAACTCAAGATCATCTAAATGTCATCTAAATCATAGTTATTGTATATTTGTTGAGACATGGTTATTTCCTATACAAGCAGAACACAATGAAACCATTCACCTCACCTCACCTCACCTCACAAATGAATCTTTCAAAATCTAAAAAATAAGAAAATACCTTCAATCTTCAACAATGTCATGCTATAGGAGTGGGATCATGTGGTTTTGATTGCTGTCTCCAATAGAGATATGATGGTGAAAAAGGGGAGGTAATTTTGAGAAGATGGAAATTAGATGAACCAGTAAACCTTTACTCATTTAACATACTAACCAGAATTTTACTTAACACAATAAATCTTTACTCATTTTACTAACTAGCCAAAAATTTACTATAAGTTTGTGTAAATTCTATAGTTATGTCAAATTATACAGATTTCAATTATTAATGAAAACAATCAATTTTTTTAAACAAATATTCAATATTTTTTGCATGTATAAATTTGATCATAATATAGTAAATTAGTAGAAGACCCGTGCGTCCGCACGGGTAAATTCATTCTTATCTTAAGATCATTTGATAATACTTGGTTGTTGTTTTGATATATATAATTGATATTATAAAATCACTAATAACTGCCAATATTTACAAATATCACTACTAACTTTAAATATTTACAAATATTTGGTTGATTAAAAAAAGGTATTGCGGTGATAGTGATTTGTGAAAATAGTGAGTACGATATAAAATATATTTAGATACACATGTAAATTTGAAATAAATTATTAAATATAAATTGAACAATGATTAACTCAATTGTATTAAATAATAATACAAAAAAAAGAAGAAAAAAAAATATGAATGATGATAGTGACCCGTAAAATTTGAATATTTGAAAATAAATTTTTTTCCTATCAAATAAAAGTATTTATTGAAAGTCAACAAAATAGATATTTTGATGATAGTGACCCGCAAAACTCAACATTTTATTATTATATTTATGATAAAACAGTTGCATCAACTTTATAGCAAATATTAAAACATGAAAATTTCTTGTTTCATGCCTTATAACAAATTCTGTTGGGACAAACTCTACAAATATAATTGATCTACTCAGTGCCGTATAAACTATTTCACAATTCTATTGGGACAAACTCTACACTCATAATTGATCTACTGAGTGGAAGACATGCACTGGATAGTAAAAAAAAACTCTACACGCATAAATGTCAATACTTTTTAGTTCTCTCTTGATGCAGAGTAGGCAACTCCACCCTTATCATGCTTAAGATGTGATCATGCTTAAGACACTCCAATGTCAAAGTAAGTTTCAGAGAGAGTGCAAGCAAGTGTGAGTGAGTATGAATATGAGAATGAATACTTGTCCCTCTCAAATGAGAGGGTATTTATAGCCTTCAGCGTTGGGTCAAAGTCCCCAATGTCTCAAGTTTTCTTCTTCAACTTCCCTTGCTCGCGTGTGAATCTTCTCCTCCCAACTTCTCCAGATTTCTTCCAAGTATCCTTCATCCAAGTAAGTCATATCTCCTTAACAATGTATTTCCTTAGTGCTTCTAGATTAAACACCTAGTTTTTGTCATGACTGGATGAATCTTGGATGAACATTCATGAGTTTTGCGATAAACACTCATAAATGTTCATTGAAGTTCATGAGTTTAATTTTTATGATGTCAGGAACAATCTCCCCGAATAGTAGGGGTTGACTCTGGCTTCTTACCCATTTGACTGGATATCCCCAACAGAAGTGTAGTCCATTTTATTGTGCAGTCGAGGGCTTGGGTCGAGGTTCGTTCCTCGACCGCTTCATCGCCCTTTCACTTGATCTGTGGTGGAAGGGAAAATTTGATGATGTCGAATTCACTGTTTCCCCCTGCTTATCAGGTATAATGGCACACTCGATCGGGGATGATGTCTTGCCCGCCAACTGGATTCTCCGAATTCCCCATCGCAATCGGAGGATCTGCTCGACATATTCAGGTAAACATTTTCCCATGTACGAGTTCACGTTTAAAGAGGCGAGGATGCGTTTGCCCTTCAATGATTTCAAATGGAGGTTTTCCAGTGGCTTCAATTGGCGCCCTCTCAACTTCACCCAAACGCACTGGCGTTCATGCGGGCGTTTGAACTCGTCTGCCAGTATCTGTAAATAGGCGCTACACTGCCCTTCTTTTTCCGTATCTTTCACCTACAAAGGCAATGCATTAGAGGAGGGCAAGCGTGGGTGTCCTTAAAACAGTTTGGGAAACTCTTTAGGCCCTATCTGAAATTTGTCCGACACTTCAAAGAGAGGTACTTTGTTGTGAAACCTTTGACGGACGCAACCATAGACTCCCTATACACTCGCGTGGATGATGGGCGACCAGTTACCCGACTCGTGGCCAGATTTCCGCTCGAATGTCAATGGAAACATTTCGAGCAAAAGCCCGAGTATTATGCTGTAAAGCCTGAGGACTTGGACGCTCAGGACCAGCTCTCCAATGAGAAGTTGGCGGCCTATGTCAGGAGCTTCTCCCCAGTGAGGTGTGTGGACGTGAACAACAACCTCCTTTTCGACAACAACGGGGAGTACCTCTTAGTTAATATGTTTATCAACACGAAGGCTATGCTCGAATGTTCCTCAGATGAGAAAGCCATGAGGCTTTTAGGTAGGGGATGTGGTCGCGATGATTATTTTTGTTTGTCTTTCATGCGGGGACGTGCCCGCGTATTATCCTTGTTTAACCTGTGGCTGGCCGTTTCTTTTTGATTGCAGGTCAGATGGCGTCCCTCTCCGAGCGCTTATTAAAGTTGAGACCCAAGAACGCTTCCACCTCGGGGCCAAAGAACAGGGTCGCCCAGCTCCAAGAGCAGGCCAAATCTGCTGCTCGTGTCAGCGATTCTCCCTCTTCATCAAAAATCCAGGTTCCCTCCAGCAAGCCCGCCCGGGTTCCCCCCAGCGAGCCCATAACAAAGAAGAAACGCGTGGAGGATGCTGAGGGCGTCGTGCCTGAAGGTGATAAAGGGCCCAAGGGGGTCTTTGTGCTGCCCCTTTGCTATCTAAATCGTGATCTCTTTAGCGGGGAGAGTTCTTTGGGTGTTCACGAGGAGGAGAAGGAGGCGATTATGTCCGATGATAAGGAGGTTCGTCAAAAGAATATGGCGGAGGATGTGGCCGTTGTGGTGAGGATGCTCGAGACGACTCTGACGCTAAATGTTGAGGTCGCGAGCTCTCAGGTCTCCCTCGACACAGCATATGCTAAGATTCAAAAGTTGAATGCCAAGAATGAGAAATTAAAGTGCGACATCCTCAACCACGAGTCAAAGTTCGAGGCCCAAGTTTGACTTCTCAAGGATCTGAACAAGCTGCAGCCCCAACTGGACGTCGTGACCAAAGAGAACGAGCGTCTGGTTTCCCGAACAAAAGAGTTGGAGGGGATCACGGCCCCGACTGAAGAAGAGACCGACACAAATAAAGCCATGGCGTCCAGAGCAGAGCTAACTGCGCACATCCGGGTGCTCGAGCAAGACGTCGTAGACACCCTCAACTATGGTTTCAACACGGCCGTTGAACAACTGAAGATTCTGAACTCGGGGGTTGAGCTTATGGTCGAAGGTGCGGGGCCATTCAACCAAGTGATTGATGGGAAAATCTTTTATCCTCCCGAGAATAGTGACGTGGAGGATGAGATTTGATTAGTTTTAGGGTTTGCATGCTCGTTCTCGTTTTATTTTGCATTCGTGGTCGTCGTGCCTAATTTTGTAATTATTTAAACAACGTCGGCCTTCGCGGTCAACATTTATGAATGCCTTCATTTTGCTTTTATTCCTATTTATTTATAAATAATTGCTTGTCGTTGTTTTTGCTTATTGTATGAATGTTGGTATTATTAAGCTTGGGGATTCGCGCTCGACCTTGGTTGTGGTCGACACATGTCGAATGTGTCGAGGAAAATGGAGTAGGGATCCGACGAACGAGCTCAAGATCGCGGTCGGGATCTTAAGCTCGTGGCGTGAACTGCCCATCGCGAACTGGGTGTTCTGCCTGTTGGGTACTTTGACAGTAAAGCTCAATTTAGGTGTCCCTGTCGGGCTAAGGTTCTGCTTGATAAATGAGCAGCAACCTGCCGGCGTTGATATTTGGAGGTCATGTCAGTACCTTAACATGCCTACGTGGTCGTGCACATCCCGTCGTCCGTTGGAGAGGACTGGTCGACTATCAATGCCCGTAGTAGGATTAGGACTTATCTGTAATATTGTTTCAGTTTTGTGGCGTTTCATGGTCGAGGTAGTGGTTCTCCATTTAAATGCTCGAGGTAGTATGCTCCAGTGCCCATAGCCCCGCAGACGCGGTATGGTCCTTCCTAATTTGCGGCCAGCTTCCCTTCGCGAGAATCTTTCTGATTTCTTTGCAGGACTAGGCTGCCGAGCTGGAATTCGCACATTTTGACTTTGTGGTCATGGCGAAGGGCTATTTGTTGTTTCAGCGTGGCCTCGCGAAGAGCTGCTCTTGAACGAATTTCCTCGACTAGGTCGAGCTCTTCTCTTAGGGCCTCGTCGCTAGTTCCTCGTCTAGAGGAGCCTCAGTTCTTCTGGAAGGTTCTAAGATTTCTACAGGGATGACAACCTCGGTGCCATAGGTCAGTCAGAACAAGGTCTCGCCCGTCGTTGAGTGGAGTGTTGTTTGGTACGCCCATAGGACGCTGTAGAGTTCCTCGACCCACCCTCTTTTGGCCCCGCCCAACCTTCGTTTGAGACCTCATAAGATGACCTTATTTGCGGCTTCGACTTGCCCGTTGCTTTGGGGGTGTTCGACTGAGGTGAAGTGTTGCTTGGTGCCGAGTTTGGCGATGAAGCTTTAAAAATCTTGATCGGTGAACTGGGTACCGTTGTCAGTGACGAGCGTTGTGGTATCCCAAATCGAGCAAGCACGTTTTGTTTGTAGAAACGAAGGATGTTGTGTGAA